CTTTACATTAATACGTCCCTTTTTTTTGGTACAAATTAATACATTCCCTTTAAACTTAATAATAAAATAAATTTAAATATAACTTTAGGAACATGCTACGGTCTAGTTACGACTATTTCGTCGGAATTTATAACTGTTAGATCAACTATCTCTATTGATTACATAATATCTAACAGTTACAAACTCCAACAAATGATTCCTTAACGGGACGTTAGCATTTCTCATAACTTTATATCATTCTCAATGTCATTTTCGTTCCTTGATGCAATGAGCAACTCCCGACGCTATGACGTGGATGCATGATAACCAATCCACCTCACACGCTTTGATCTGCCGACACGAAAGATGGGCTTCACATTCTTAAGCGATGAGAGTTCGGTATTGGGCCCCAAATGTAATTTCTATCTGATAATATAAAATAAATTTTTGTGGCCCAAAATCTAAAATCAAAGAATTAGGAAGCCTGCTATACCTGTCGGGCCGTCAGCAGTCAATATCAAGATCAAACAAGTTTTGTCTCAAACTCAAAATAAAATGGAAAATTAAAAAATATGAAAAATGATTAAAAAAAATAAAAAATATTAAAATAAATTTATAATAGTGAATTGACGTGAGATAAGTATAATATAGTTAGAATATGTGAGTGAATGAAAAATAATTCTTTTTTTGAAAAATATATAATAATAACTATTTTTTATCATAAAATTATGTTGGTGAGATGTGGAGATAAAGTGAAACAAAATAAATATTACCTTTTATATAAAAAAAATTATTTATATTTCAATAAGATAATTTTGATTGATCAAATAAAAAATGGAAAAAGTTATATATAATTGCAGTAAAATTTAATTCAGATTTTATTTTGTCCACACGTGTGGGCATTGCTTGCATAATTCACAAGTGTTATTATTGTGGACCTGTAATATAGTGTAATATGACAGCGGAGATGATAATGAGACTTCATTTTCAAGTAAAATTATTTTCTGTCTTCATCTTTTGTTTTCATCATTTTTTCTTGGTCCCTTGAGCATCACTCTTGTTCGTTATTTGATGATATTTTTTTGTTAGAAAAATCAGGGATTTTCAGTTAGAAACATCCAAAATTGTGAAGATTTTTTTATATCATTTATTTTATTTTATGGGTAAAAAGTTTCGCCTTGTAAAAGTTTGAACTTGACTTATTCATTGAATTAAAGAAGTTGATCTCGAACAAGTAACTGAATAAGTTTACTAAGCGAGCCGACCAGAGCTTATTCGCTAACACATAGTTCTTTTATTATTTTTAATTGAAATTATTCGTGAACAGACATTTCGTATTTGCATGCGAACAAATCGTTTAGATACTAAGATTTATTAAATGAGCCTAGCCTTTTGTTCATTCTTAAAATGAATTGAGATGAGTCGACTTGTATATTAGACGAGCACAAGCTCGAACATGAGCAATTACATCCCTAGTAACATGATACTGATGCAGGTAAGTCTTTAAGGGCGTGTTTGTATACAAAAATATTCGCTCAAAATATTTTTTTTAACCAGAGTTAATTTTGAAAAATGTGATATACTTAGTTATTAGTGGGATTTTAATTTTATATTAAAATAAAATAATTAAAATTGATTTGATATAAAAGTAGAAGAAATATGATATGAAATAATAGTTAGTTAAAATTATGTGAGTGGATAAATAATAAATTAAAGTTGATATGATGTGTAAGAATGATTGGTTGATATTAGTTAATTATAGTGATAATATTGAGGATAGTGAGATTGGGTTAAAGTTGAGTTAGACAGTGTAAAACAAAACACACCCTAAGACTTTCAAAATGAAAAAAAAAAAAAAAACACGAATCTCAATTTCAGATTAGAAACTAAACCTAGCTCTTGTGAGTACTTAAGATCAAAGTCTTCCAAACAAAAGACCCGACAAAATTGGCTTTCGGAGAAAAGTAAACCTCCGTTCTGACCATTTTTTCAACTACCTGAAACCCTAAAACCTCTAAAAACAACAAATCAGCTAAATTCAGTACAATGCCACAACATATCTTGTACAGTGTGAATACAACAACTAGTCATTACGCATTTTTCATTCAATCGCCCGATAACAACTCAAGACTTTGAAAGAATCTCGAAAAGTATTTGGACTGAAATTTCCCCAGTTTTTACTTTACTCGAGTCGTTGGCTCAGATGTTACAGCAACGAGTATGGCCCTTTATCAAATTGTCCCATAAACAGATCATTTGCCGAGGGGATTGGTAGTGTGTCGTGTGGTAATCTTCCATACATCCGTATTGGCAATATTTCCGGTTATGGGAATATTTGACCATTCTTTTTGTGTTGTTGAACTGCTCGACCCACATTCCCATTCTTACATCCTCCATTTTGAATAACTGCAAATTCAAGGACCGATATGTGATTTCCAGATTCATTTACAACGTAATAAAAAAACTTTCAAATATACTTTTTTTTTGTCATGAATCTTGATGTCAAGAGGATCATATTATCATGTAAATACAAGAAACTTTGTCAGATGGTATTGGTAAATCTAGTTGATAAACTAAATTATAATTTTAAAGTGAATTTCGAGCTTATAGTTGATAGCTGATGAGTTATGGCTAAAAAACAAGTTTATATGATAAAATTGTTTGATAAAATTAATTGTTAAACTAGTTGAAATAAAAACTTCAAATGATTTAAGGAAGTTTATGAGAAAAAACTTGAGATCCTACCAAACAAAGTTTATTTGCATACATGAATCTTATAAGTTAATCAAATAAATTATAAGATAGCTTAAATGTTTACCAAACACATTAAACCTCAAAAAGTAAACTCACAAATCAATTGTTATCGTGTAAGTATCTAATGTAGCAAACCCATAAGCTATGATCTGGGTGTTGGGAGATAAAGAACATTTTCAATGGTCTTTCTATTTCTCAATTTTGTTGCCACGTGACAAAAATAATCTTATGTGGTTTGAAAAAATTTTAGAAAACTTTTAGATGTAGAAGTCTTTCTAAAAAACTTCTATTGGATATTAGAATATTTATTTAATTTATTTATATTCTTCAACCAATTAAAATGTTACACATCTTTTTGGTTTCATTGCTTGTTGTTTTGTCTGGTTCATTTGCTTCCCACTTTTGGATTGAGCCTAAAGACTAAGAGCATCTCCAATGGTACATGAATTGCTCTAATTTATTGCCACATAGCCTCAAAAATCTGATGTGGCGTTTCAAAATTGTAGAAGTCTTTCTAGATGTAGAAAGACTTCTAGTCTCTAGACATCTTCTACCCTTATTATATTATTTATTTAATATTTCTCTTTCCACCAACCTATTATTACTTTACACATGTCAAATTATTCTACAATTGACGTTAACCATTGGAGACAAAATATTTTTATTCACTTTCTCTGCACCATTCATCTCAAAATAGATGCTCAACCATTAGAGATGCTCTAAGACAACGAAGAATTCTCGAGAAGAAGTCCTTATTCCCATTGACGTGTAAGTATGCAACTCAATTAACATTAACTATTGGAGACATAATTTTTTAGTTTTAGTCCTCCATGTCATCCAACACAAAATGAACAATTTTTCATTAGAGATACTCTAATAAATCAATGTTATAGAAGTTGTGGAGAAGAAAAAATCCTTCACGTGCAACACCTCCAAGCACGCATTCGAGTAGTACGCTAGGGTACAACACCCCACCTGCAGCGTTTTATTCTCTCCGGCACATTATCCGGCAATCGGCGGCGACAGAAAGAGAGCCAAACCAAACCTCGATTAGGTCGTAAGAGAACAAAAACGAAAGATGGGGGCGAGCAGCGACCCGAACCAAGACGGTTCCGACGAGCAGCAGCGCCGCTCCGAGATCTACACCTACGAGGCCCCGTGGCACATCTACGCCATGAACTGGAGCGTGCGCAAGGACAAGAAGTACCGCCTCGCCATTGCCAGCCTCCTCGAGCAGTACCCCAACCGCGTCGAGATCGTGCAGCTCGACGACTCCACCGGCGAGATCCGTCCCGACCCGGCCCTTTCCTTCGACCACCCCTACCCGCCCACCAAGCTCATATTCGTCCCTGACAAGGAGTGCCAGCGCCCCGATTTGCTCGCCTCCTCCTCCGACTTCCTACGCCTCTGGCAGATCTCCGATTCCGACGCCGGCCGCCGCGTGGAGCTCAAGAGCCTGCTCAACAACAACCGGAACAGCGAGTTCTCGGGCCCGCTCACCTCGTTCGACTGGAACGAAGCCGAGCCGCGGCGGATCGGCACCTCCAGCATCGACACCACCTGCACCATCTGGGACATCGAGAAGGAGGTCGTGGACACGCAGCTGATTGCACACGATAAGGAGGTTTACGACATAGCCTGGGGAGGTGTTGGGGTTTTCGCATCTGTCTCAGCCGATGGTTCAGTTAGGGTTTTCGATTTGAGGGATAAGGAGCACTCGACCATAATCTACGAGAGCTCGGAGCCCGACACGCCATTGGTGAGGCTCGGCTGGAATAAGCAGGACCCGAGGTACATGGCTACAATCATAATGGACAGCAGCAAGATTGTTGTGCTCGATATTCGCTTCCCTACACTACCTGTGGTGGAGCTGCAGCGGCACCAGGCAAGTGCCAATGCCATCGCGTGGGCCCCACACAGCTCATGCCACATTTGCACGGCTGGAGATGATTCACAGGCTCTGATATGGGACCTCTCATCCATGGCCCAGCCCGTGGAAGGTGGGCTCGACCCAATTCTGGCCTACACGGCAGGGGCGGAGATCGAGCAGTTGCAGTGGTCATCTTCGCAGCCCGATTGGGTGGCGATTGCATTCTCGAACAAGCTGCAAATTCTGAGGGTATGAGTTTTAATTAACGATGTGGTGTTTTGGTCAATTAGCCTATAATCAGCTTGCTCTTAGATGTCAGCACGTGATTTTTATTTGATGGGATAACTTTGGCATTTGTTCGGTCGGTTTGTTTAGTGTTTGTACTTTGTTTAGAGGGATTAGTTTGTGAAAGAAGGGAACTGTTTAGTTAATATTATTTATGGTATCTAGCAATTGTAAGATCTCCTTCCTTGCTTTATTTGCTAAATGTCCAGTATATGCTGTGTTTTCAGTCTTAAATGGTTAGATAGCTTTTGATGATAATTGATATCAATCGATACAGGACTGGTTTCTGTTTTGCACTTCTGATTTTTTTTTTCCTTCACATTGTTTGGTTTGTTTACTGCCAAAGTGCATTGGCACTCGCTTCTGAGCCCAATCTTGTTCTGTATATAGTTTGTTGCTGAATAGAAGCACAAAAAGAGTACTTTAATTCTTAGCTTTTTGTTTTCGTTGTCCTTTCCTTATCTTTTCAATTGCTGTTGTATGACCAAAGTTGTGAGCTGTTAGTTAGTTGGTTTTTAGGCCTTGATTATGCATACTTTGCAAGTCTGTAAACAAAAAGGTGCTAGCTTTTTAGTGTCTTCCATTAGTTTCTACACCTAGGCAAGCCCTCACAGCATCTTAGGGCAGGGGATCACATAGAGTTTACGCAGGTCACATAATCCGGCTCTCCATTAAAATGCATATCTGCAAGTAAATAAGCTAGAACTTTCTGGTAATTACGTATACTGTGCCATTAGTCAAGGGCCAAGGCCTATAACCCTCTAAGCTTCGGGCCCGGTCGGACAACCATATAACAGATTACGTTTGTCCTTATAAATGATGGATCCCTTCAAGATTCAATTCTACTTGGGATTTTGAGGTAGCCCAACTTGTTGAAGAAGGTTATGTGTAATAAGCAGTCCAAGACATAAACTATTGCAGTTCAGTGGGAGAAGATGGCTGCAAGTTACTAGTTGCTTTGTTCTGTCACACTTACTTTGGCCTCAGGTTAATTCCTTTGTGCAGTATACTGTATTAGTTTTGTGTTAATGGACTTTGTTTGAGTGGTTATTAATTTTTCATCTACAATATCCCTGTTAAACGTACGTTTGGGTCGCCTGATTTTCTTGGTAATCTTTATTATATTGAGAAATAAGGATACTGCCAAGTTGAATACCTGAAATAGTAAGGGGTTCTTTGACCTTCTTTACTATCTGTACCGTTCGAGTTCGGGGGCTCTGTTGGTCATGAATAGAAGAGTTACAGAAATGGATTTTAGTATTTCTGAGTTTATGTGATCACAGAAAGGGTGTAAATTTCGATATATATATATATATATATATTTATTTATTTATTTTTTTCCATCTTGCTTTTTGGTACTCTCCTACATTGTTATTCCTTGAAGTATTATAATCTTTTGCGAGCCAAGCGTACACACGTTCGAAAGTTAGCTCAGCTAGTCGAGTTTTCTAGTTCGAAAATTGAAGCTCAGCTAGTCGAGTTTTCTAGCGATCTAACTGATGCCTGCTCTGGCTGGATCTTGATTTGATGTATAACATTTTAGACAGATTATAGAATGGGAATATCTTTGCTGCTTGTTCCCAGGAAAATCTCTCTTTCTACCAATACTTGAAATTACCCAGAAAATATGTATTATATGCTATTTGTATTTGTGCTACCAATTTCATGGTAATTGAATGCAGTATCATTTATTAATGATGAAATTCAATAGATAATAACTTTATTTGGGAAACTTTACATCTTGTAGAAATGAGATCCAATAATATGTAGAGTTGTTTTATTTTCTTGTTAAAACTCAAAAGACTAGATTGCCCAAGAATCAATGCCACAACTACACCCGTTTCTATTGGGCCCAATGGTGTTAAAAAGAGGAAATTACATGGTATACCATACATAATCATTTTTATTACATTTATAGTACTCATATATAAAATTTAGCACAATAACTAAAACTAACATATTTATTTCATAAATACTAAAGTGATGGTTTAAATATAATTATCTTTAATTATGCAATTATTTGGCCAAAATGGTTTTCCACTTTTTAGGCATTAGAATTCCTCTATCTCCTCCACTTTTTCTCCTTATCTTCTTCTTCATTCTTCTCCATTTTTATTATTATTATTATTTTTTCTCTCGAACCTTATGACGAGAACCGGCGGCAAAGGGCTGTGGGGTTCCACTCGCCTCTCAATTTGGTGGAGTGGCGCAGCAACCAACGGTTTCGACAGCTGAAGCAGACGATTAAAATCTGACGGTGGTCCCTTCCCACTTGTGAGTGGCAGAAGTCACCGGATGGCAGGGCTCAGCCGAGGGCGGTGGGAACTCGATCTGTCAGGCACCGGCGGTGGAGGGTCGAACACCGATGGAGTTTGTCCAAGGCGGCGTGACAAGATGAATGGCGCCCCTACTTTCGAGCAGCAGTGGTTAGCTTGGCTCGTCCAAAAGCGACAACAGCTTGTGCCGGTGATTTGTTGAGTATCTCAGAGGCGAGCGACTACAATTGTGGGTTCGTCTTAGGAACGATTGTCGATGGAGTCTTAGTGACGCGACGACAACCCTACTTGTGAGCAGTGGCAACATGCAGATAGTTTTGACCAAATCTTTATTCATAGTTCATGTTTGGCATATTAACAGATCTTTCTGTTGATGATGAAATTAGTATGAGATGACAAATTAGCAATTTGTTTATAGTTTATTTGATGTTTGTTCATAGATTTTTATTTGTAGTTTTATCTTGTGTTTATGTTTTAGTTGTTAGAGTAGTTTTTGTGTATGGATGTTTGGTTTTTTTGCCATGGTTCTTATTGATCCTTAATAGTTCATATACTGAAAATATATTAGGGGTGAGATTTTATAACCGAGAACCAAAATATCTAACTGGACTGAACCGAAATGAGTCTGTTCGGTTCGGTTAATAGTTAATGTGTCGTGGTTTTTTGCAGTTGGGTTATTTTGTCAACAATTGATTCCAGTTTTCAGTTTTTCTTAAAAAATTTGTCAAATAAGCGGGATAACCTTTAGCCATGTTCGACAGCGAATTTCATAAGCCCAACCCAACAATTACCTCATTTCAAATAATTTGTAAAACCTAATCTCAGAGA